TTTGTTGCTTGCAGTTAGGTCTTGCGTGAAGTTGTAATGTCCTGAAAGCTCGTTTTCTTGTAAATACTTGCACTTCATGGTGGCACTTGACCTCTTACACCGGGGGCAAACAGGAACTTGTTATCTGAGAAAACTATTGTTGTATCTTTTTCATTGTGTTGGTTCAGGATTGTAACGTTTCAGTCAGCGCACTTTTCTTTCCGAGATAAGAGATCTTATGTTCTCTTTCAACGTGTCTGGAGGTTTGCTTGATACGTAAAGTTTGAGTCTGTCATTTATAATACAGCGCTTTTCTCAGCTTACATGGACGCGGTAAAGAGTTACTTTGTTTCTTTTGTTTGGGTGGAGGTGTTGCTGAAGGCTGCTACTTAGGTTACTATACAACGTTTTGGAAAAGTCTGATGCAGAATAGATCTCAGTTTTTGCCTAAATTGGGGGGTTTGTTTTGAACACTTTTTTTGATTTGTGATATTTTATTTAGTGTTCTAGTAACGTGCTTCAGTCCAGCTTTGATTGATTTCTTTGACTAGTTGAAATTTTTTTTTTGTGGACCTAATGGATTTTTAGAATTACTGAAGTTTTTTTTGTTGTCTTACTAAGGGGACTAAAATATGGTGTTGTTACTCACTAGTGTTTACCGTGAGGTTTGAAATTTTTAGCGACACTTCACTCTTGCTGGTTGATTTTTTTTTTTGGCTTGATTTGAATTACAGTGAAATATTTTTGACTTGATATGGTTTAACGTAATGACTATTTGTGTATTTGTTTAGGTATTGCAGTTTAAAATTTTTTTTTTTTTAAGTATCACTGATCTCATTGCTCATTTGAATTATGTACGAAATTTTTACAGTTTAATTGTATTTTCATTTTATGTGTATATGTGTATCTTGGTAGTATCTGTTTGTAAATTTTGGCCAAACGTTATTTTGTATATGCATTAGGTTGTATTATTACTATTATTTTTGTGTGTTTTGGATAAAATTCTAATTGGTATTTGCACAGCGTATTCGTTATGTTCATTCTCGGAATTGATTTTGGTTGGATTGAATTTTTGGACAATCACGTTTTTCCTTCTTTCTGATTTCTTTGTGTGGGGTATTTTCGGCTGGTTCCGAGGTTCCTTGTGTTGTAACGTTCTTTTCTTTTCTAATGCTTGGCCCTGATCAGGCCGCTTCTGTTCTTAGACGTGATTGTTTGGGATTCATTCTTAGAAGTTATTCAATTTCGTAGTACTTAGGGGTCTTTACTCCTTATTTGAATACGTTCATGTGACATATTTTATTTGGAATTGTTTGAATTATTAGTGTGTTTATTTTCTCAGGAATGTATTTTATGTATCTGCGGCGCGTTAATTATCTTATTGATTGATCTTAGACATATTTTGTTTGTGATTAGCGCCTTATTTTTATTTTTATTTTTGTATGTGTTCTGAGTATTTCTAGGTTTAATTAAGTGATTTAATTGATGTTTTTGATTAATTATTTTTGATGATCTTCCTTGAGTATTTTAATTAGTAATTGCTTTGATTAATCTTGTTGTTTTACTTGCACATTTTGGACTTTACATTTAATGTGTCAGTAACGTCACTGTTACCAAGGAGTCGTGTGAAATATTGTTACATTATGTTATCCTTTAGCCTTATTGCACAGTATGAGTCATGGTATTTCAAGAAGTGTCTGTCTGCTAAATTTTGGTAAACCAAAATTTAATTCCTTAGGGGAAAGGAATGTTATGTAGAGAAATTACCGGATAGCGTTATAAAAATTAGGTGAATGATTTTATGATTTATGGAAATTTAAATTTTATTTTGATTCTGAATTATTTAATTTAAGGCTTTAATTTTGGGGAGAAACAGATGCTTCGGGAAATATTATTTAGTTATAAATGAATATTATTTATTTTCTTTTATTTGCAAATCTTGTACAAACTTTTATTCATTGTGAAAGAAGCAGGGAAAGGGAGGCAATTTTCGCCAAGTCATGATTTCGCGCGCTTTAGAATGTTCGAGAAAGAATTTTCATTGTTAGTTGACCTTAAGAGAGGAAAGTACGTGACGGAAAGGTCAAAGGTTGCTACTTGTCTTTCAATGTAAGTCATTCAGGTTTTTGGCGATTGAGGGTCCGGTTGTTGGCTAAGTGAAGAAGGGCGCGCATGCGCGATCACCCTTATTTCCGCATTCTGGAGTTGAAAACGAAGATTTTGCCATAATTAAGGGGGCGATAAGTGAAGCCATAGTGGGAGCCCGTTTTGTGAAGGAGACGAAGGAAATTCGAGTTGGATACACACTTACTTTTTGGCTGACTCTCTGACTGACTTGCTGAATTTCGGGCTTGCTGCACTTACTGGTTGGCTGGACTTGTGGATGTTACTCTTGAAAACAGGTTGAAAAAGCGAGAGAGAAGATGTAATTACGAAGAAAAATGGTTTTCCGGCGGGGAGCGGTAAATATGTTCCCCGGCCGCGTTTTGGTTAAGAGGCGAGACACACTTACTCTTGACTCGCTTAGGCACTCACTGCTTGGATTCGCTGACTTTCGGGCTTGACGGACTTGTTGACGGAGACTGAGAAAAAAACTTGTGGGTGTTGCGAAAGGAGAAAGGAAAAGATTTAGTCGGCATCGAGCAGTGCTTCCGGCGGGGAGCGGCAATTATGCTCCCCGGCCGCGGGTTTTCTCAAAAATGCGAAAAAAAAAAACTGTTGAGCGAATAACAAAAAAATTAACAGAGACTTGGGTCTCTATCTGTATCGGCAAAAGTCAGGACGATGTCCTCTGAACTCCGACTTGAAAACAGAAGGAATTATGTCACCTTAGTCAACTGGAAGCCTGCGTTAGCCGTTCTCTAAAATGCCTAGCTTAATTGTCTACGTTTTCCTTGGTGGAGCTGAGAGTCTAGGCAGACAGCCGTGCGGTGTAAGCTGTTCTCTTGCTTCCAGTGGGAATAATTTTCTTCTATGGAAACCAGTAGCAGGCGTAAGATTTGACGGTATAGCTGAGGTAATTTATTGTCGTGCCGTTCGAGTCTCTGTCTTGCGGATTTGCCAAGTGACGTAAGGATAGAGCTAAGATATGAGCTCTCCTCCACTTCAAGATGTCTTTAACAGATAAGTTATATATATATATTTTTTTTTGTGTGTGTTTATACGATCCTTTCACGAAACATTTCTTCATAACAATTACCGGACACGGTCCTTTTCCCGCGTACTATGAAAAACACGGGATCGCACAAAAATGCACATTGTATATGTGGTGAGATGGGCACCCCAGATCATTATGTTACCCAATGCCCGCTTACAGCAGATCTGCACCTGCCAATTCCAACTACAAACACGCAGGCTTTCTGCAGATTTATGGTTAAAGACAAACGTACTGTCCGAAAAATCAACAAGATAGTTGATAAACTCATGAACGTGGGCACAGACTTATGTCTAATCTAAAGCAAACGTGCTAAGATATGATATGCAAATGCAAGGTGGAGTGTGCAACGCCATTTACCATGTGCCATGTATCGTGTAAATTAAAAACCATGTCATACAAACTCCATGTATATATAACTATCGGCATGATGTGCTACGAGCAGCTCACAAACTAAAACTGTAAATAATGCAAATGAAACTGAGTCAGTAATGAACATTACGCACTGAGGTCAGTTATCGTGCATATAACTATGCACTTTGCAGCGCGTATAACTGCCTTCAACAGAACAGCAACGTGTCAATACTGGCAAATTACGCAATGCAGGACAGTTCATGTACTACGCGTACTAATACCATCACATCCATTTACCGCGACCTATTCTAAGGTGCGAAATGTAAGTAATGGAGAAATGCACAGATGCAAAATTCTGCAGTAATATGCTAACTGTAAATGCAAAAAACTATGTATATTAAGGAATGCTAATGTAATCCATTATATGTTTTTGTACATGGTAAATATATTAATGTAATGATTAAGCAATGTATTATAAGTGTAAAGAACTTCGGTACAGAATAACATTGTAAAGCTTACCGGCTTAATTATAAGGAGTAATGTAATATGCACTTTCGTATAAGTTAGTCAGTATAATTTATCCTGCATAATGTTTCACCAGTGCATATCAAATTTCCCTGCGTGTAACTTAACACGCATCATATATATATGTATATACACCCTTCTGTGCATAATTGTTTTTCCTACGTATCACTAATTTCCCTGTGTATAATTTAATGCGCATCTTGTGTTGAATGCGCAGCCAGTGCAAAACAACATTATTACAATCTGATGATAATGTATCTAATGATAATGTATCTGTTACCAGTATACGGTATATTAGGAAAGAAAATTAATGTAATAAGTATTTGGAAGTTAATGTAATGTTAAGGTAAGGCGTTATTTTGTCTTGTCAATCTGATGTGTAGAATATAATGTAATGTGTAAACCATGTATCGCAATATAAAATATGTAGTGTAGTATGTACTGATAAACTATCCTGTTAATTTGGTATGTAGTACATTATCTAATACGTAAGCCAAGTATCGTAATATGTAATGTAATCGTAATAGTGTCATATGTATCATAATATATAATGTAATATGTAATACAATCGTATTAGTGTCATATGTATCATAATAAATAATGTAATATGTAATGTAGTCGTAATAGTGTATATGTATCATATATATAATGTAATATGTAATGTAGTCGTAATAGTGACATATATCATAATATATAATTTATATAGTAATGTTAGTGTCGTATGTATCATAATATATAATGTAATACGTAATGTAATCGTAATAGTGCCATATGTATCATAATATGCAATGTAATATGTAATGTAGTATGTACTGATTAATGAGCAACATGACACAGAATGCAAAGCCCAACTGAAGAAATGTGAATGCACACTTTATAATAGTATTATGCATAACGATGTAGGCAGTAACGGGTATCGAGACAACTCAATAAGCAGTATATAAAACTATCATGTGTATAAATAAGTATATTATCCTGTATAATGCAATACCTGTGTATAACTAATTTCATGTGAATAACCTAACCCGTATCGTGCTTATAACCCCCTATTGCGTATAATGTTCCTATGTATCATTAATTTCCCCGTATATAATGTAATGTGTACCCAGTGTATAATGATAATATAATGCGTATCCTGTGTCTAATGCGAATCCTGTGCAAAAATAACCCTTTTATAATGTACCAATATAGGGTTTATTAGAAAAGAATTTTAATGTAATAAGTTGATGTGAAGTTAATGTAATGTTAGGATAAGGTATTAATTTGATATGTAGTATATAATGCAATGTGTAAATCATGTATCGTAATATATAATGTAATATGAAATGTAAGATAAAGGTGGACGTGGTGCTGTACTGATTAACCCAAATGGTAAAGGGACAGTGCCCACGTCCTCCGTCGCTTATCGCTTATACTTGCATCAAAGGTAACGAAATCCATTACTGTTGTGTGTATCATTATTTCATGGTAATAACTATTTCAAATTTCAAATAATCTAATCTTACTTTGTAGTCGAAGAGATACATAAATTGATTATTGATTAATAATCAGTTGATGTATTTCCTCATTAAAATCAGTCAGACAACTGTGCTTTTTGTTGTTATATTTAAAAAAGGAACAGTATGCACATCATTTCCCATTATTACATTACAAATACATTTTGCTTCAACAGTGTCACATACAACAGATGATCTGATTTTCCTGTGGAATATCTCATCTCCTCTTGTTGTTAGTGAAGATGTAGAACTGCCGCAACTAGACATTGTTGAAAGCTCAACTGAAGATTGTACACTTGAATACTCAACAGGTACCTATTAAATTCTTCTATAATAAATTACTAGTTTAATTATTTGTTTAAGCTGCTATTTCACTCAACGCATTTTTCAATCATTTTTCTATAAATGAGAGTAGAAAATGTAATGTCCATTTTAAAGAAAACTTTCAATTGAATTCATACAAAGGGATGAAGTCTGTAAGATTATCGTGTAAGCATGAAACTGGCGAATGACGTCTCAGAATACTTAGAGACTCTCAGATACTTACTAATAGAGCTGAGGTCGCGCGCATGCATAAGTGCACTCTTTAGAGATACATTTAAGTGACTTCAGATGGAGATTTTAAAATCGAATTTTCTTTTTCAACTATTTGTAGGAGTTTAACCAAAGTTTCGATCACTGAGTAAATTTTCAAGGCTTCCAGGTAAGATTTCGGAGGATTAAAAGACATAAAAGCCAAGGATTTTTGTCTAATCCCTAAACTCAGAAATTAGGCTCATATCAAAATTATGGTTATTTAAGATGTATCCCCAACAAGTGATTGTCAAATGCTAATCTATGTATGAATTTCAAATGTAATTCGAAGCAAATTTTGAGGAAGATATTTGCCAAAGGACTCCATGAAAGAAAATACTCCAAATGATAAGGTACAAATTATTCTTCATATTATAAATGCTTCATTTTTACTGTTGCGCATTATGAGGATATTTATGGCACCATAATAAATTGCAAAAGCTCCCGAAAGAAATATCTTGAACGGATATTGTATCTCCCTACATCTAATGAAATGATTGAGTCGCGATTCTATCCCCTTATTAAGTCTCGATTTTATGCAATTAGATTTTTATGTCATTAGTTTCTTCAATAAAGGAGTTTGCATGCGTCCTAAGTGCTGAAAAAACTTCCTGTGGGAACTCTTTGAATGTGCTCTTTTCTGTCAGGACAAGAACAGTTGCTAAAAGATAACTATCAGCCTTCCTTAGCGACTACCTTCAATCTTAGAGCTAAAGCTCTTTTGTTCCGTATCAATAATTTTCCCATGTAATAAGGCAGCGCATTTTAATATGCCTTAGTCTGAGTAACTCGGATAGACTCATCCTCACGTAATTTGAGAAATTCAACCTAGAAATCTGTTGTTTGTACTCTGGAGTTCCATAGAGGAAATCGGGGAGAATACCTTTCATTAATCTCAGGTTATCATCAGATAAGATTTTTTGAAATATTTTTATTAAAAGAGGTCTTGCTTTATTTTTTTTTTAAATTTTCAGATCTTTATAAATTATACGCCAAAGTGAATGCAGCTTATTCGGAATTCGAAACTTTATGTTGGCATTTCTATGCTTTTGTTTGCCACGTAAAGTTTCATATCTACTCTGAGTAGGCATGCTAATTAGGCATTTTTTAAGTCCATTAAATGTTGTAAATACTAAAATATTACTATTATCTGAGATTAATTCTCACGGGATTCAAGCAAATTATTCGGTAAGCAATTATAAAGTACCCAAGCTAGGACAGCTTCAGAAAAATGACAAGACTACAAAAATTTCAAATTTTCTTATTTAAAAGCCTTAAAACGAATATAAAGTAATCAAAGTGCTACAAAATTAACAATTTTAGTAGCTTTGAAATTTTTTCACCCATTTATTGGCTCAAATTTTCGAATTTCATATTCTCTAATAAAAACATAAAAAGACCGTAAAAATTTTAAAATATATCAAAACATTGGACGCCCCCAAAATGAGGACAAGCATAAAAGAAATCTAAATTAACATTATTTTTAACGACTTTCAGATTCTTAAAGAATAGCATGATAAAAAATCGAATTTTTTAATAAAAGGTTTAAAATGACAAGCGCAAATCAAATTTATCTAATTAAAATTGGATGAATAATAAAAAAAAAGCATTGCGGCTTTAAAAAAAAGTACTTTTTTTCAGCTCAAATGACTTGTCAAAGGAAAAAAAATATACCTTAAAAGATGCACTATATTATCATTCTAGAATAGTTTATTTTGTGGCATGAAAGAACTGTAGAGGAAAACAAAAATACCTAAAAGAGAAATTGAAATCTTTTTACATCAACAAGATGTTTATACCAAATATAAATCGCTCATTAGAAATTTTAGAAAGAGAAAAATATATGCTCCTAACATTGATGATCAATGGCAAGCAAATTTATTGTTTTTAAAGGCCTTTAGTAATATAACGGAGGAATATATTTTTTGTTAACCATAATTTATTGTTATAGTAAACATTCGTGGGTTATTCCTGTAAATAGAAAAACAGGAAAAGAATTCACAAACGTGTTTAAAAGTGTTCTAAAGAACGAATTCCCATGAGGATTCAAATCAATGAAGGTACAGAGTTTATCAATAAAAATATTCAACAACTATTTAAGGATAATAATATTCATTGGTTTGCTATAAAAATGTAGAAATTAAATGTTCTATAGTCTCGATAGATTTAGTAAGAATGAATGGAAACATCAGAAAATATATAAATGCAAATGAAACTAAAACATGTGTTAGCTAAATTAGTTAAAAATTATAATAATTCTTATCGTTGGTCAATAAAAATGACATCTTTCGAAGCATCTGGTAAAGATTACGAAGCTATAGTTTATAAGAATTTATATAAGCCTATATAAATATTAAAAAATCTAAATTTAAATTCAACGCTACAGTTCTTATTTCTAAATTTAAGTATGCTTTTTACTACGGGTTACAACCTTATATTTGATTTTTATTATTTGTCAAATTTCAAACATTGATCCTCGCACTTATAGACTAAAAAGAAATTAAAAGAATTTTTATGAAAAAGATAAAATATGGTAAAAAAAGATTAAATGTATGAAACTGAGACAATAATATAGAGAAAAATAAATAAACTCTTTGTTAAATGGAAACGTTATCTAGAAAGCTTTAATTTCTGGATTGATGAGAAAAAAAATGTTTAAATCAACGGTCTTTTAAAACATTTTGCATACCAAAAATTATTTGAAAGCGCTATAGAATGCTTGAAAGATGCAATAGATTTGAATTAGACTTTCAAATATCAAACACTTTCAAAACTTTCCATAATTAAGTATATTGATAAAGCAAATATTGCAACATCATATTAAAAGCGGACTTGTCTGGAGAAGTCATTGGTGTTGGCTGCAAGAGAATGAAGCGTTTAGCTAAAATTTATTCAAAAATCTAATTATTTTTAATCTCTTTTTTTAATCATTCATCCATTTTTATACATTTAATAATTCGGTTTTGTACATATGTTTCTATCTTCATCTATTTTTATGGGTTTTATAATTCGATTTATATATATTTAAAATTCGATATATATTTTATAATTTATTTATAATTCGATTTATATATATATATTTCCTATCTTCATCCATTTAACTTTTTTTATAAATTGTCCTCTTCTTATTTCTAATGAAGGGGGTCTCGTTTTTAATGTTTTTTATCATAAATTGATTTTTAAATAGAGAAATTTGATTTATACGCGTCATTTGAAAACTTTTATTAAGAAATTCGATTCTTTATCACCGTATTCTTTGGGAATGTGAAAATCGTTAAAAATAATGTCGATTTAGATTAATTTTATGCTTGTCCTGATTTTTAGGGTGGTCAACTGTTTTAATATATTTTTTAAATTTTTAATGTCATTTTAACGCTTTTTTATTAGAAAATATGAAATTTGAGAGTTTGAGCCAGTAATTAGGCAGGAAAATCCAAAGTTGCCATAATCATTAATTTTGTCACATTTTTAATTCTTTATGTTCGTTTTTAAGGTATTTTTACTAGAAAATTTGAAATCTTTGAAATCTTGCACTTTTCTTGAAGGTGTCCTAGATCAGGTATTTTATAAGTACTCCGATATTCAATTTCTTCTCATTTCTGGCATTCTGCAGGTTTGAAAAAGGTAACATTTCTACATACCCTTTATCTCATAGTCTTAAAACTATTTTCTAATCGCAGTTCTGGTACATAATCAGTTAACACGTATTAACAAGATATGGTTTAAAGTGCCTTAAAGCCATTACTGAAAAAATATTTCTTGAACCAGTTGACAAGTACTTAAATTGAAATAATACTTTAAATTAATTCAGTAAATGATACCACTGGTTGAAACGTAATTCTAGAGCGCGGCTATTAAATAAACGTGGATAAATTTATTTCTTAAAAAGTTACTTTATATGTGGCTTACGAACGGTCTTTTATCTATGGAAAGTTAGTAAGTATCGATTCCAGGTAGATTAAAAAGGAATATCTACAAAATTTGCTTAACTCTTAAATCAGAAAATAATGTAAGTTCAGTTTTTTTTTTTTTACTTTTTTGTCATCTTGAATGATAATAACTCGATACCACAATATTTTTCTCCACTTATAACTTTCATTAGCACTTTGCCTTTATGCGTTTTTCTTGAGCAAATTTTCTGAATTTTTTAGGAAACTTCACTTGTCTTGCAGTCGTGTTCAATCTGAAGCGCCGTCTAGGATATCACCTTTTCCATACGTACGTTCCCACAACCCTCATTGTAGTTATGTCTTGGATATCTTTTTGGATTCGACCTGAAGCTATCCCAGCTCGTGTAACGCTCGGCGTGACCAGCCTTTTGACTCTGGCGACTCAAAACACGCAATCTCAGTCTTCACTTCCACCTGTTTCTTATGTTAAGGCTATAGATGTGTGGATGTCCTCTTGCACTGTCTTCGTTTTCATGTCTCTTATGGAATTTGCTGTCGTCAATCACTACATGGGGTACACTGGAAGCAGTAAACTTATGAGGGGCTATTCAGTGGATGAACTTGATAAGGTAAGTTTCTTTGCAACGTCATGGACTAGAAGAATATCATTTTAAAAGTTTGCACCAGTTCGAAAGAAGGTGAGATTAAAAATCAGTAAACTCTTCTATTGACAGAAACTTCTAACTTATGCGTTTAAAGAAAGCAAAACTTGCTCTCGTAAGAAAGTATAAATTACGAATTTTAATTTTAAAATAAATTACTGCAGTAAACTTTAAGCTAACTTCTTCAGTCGGGCTGATTTTTAGACAGGAGGCGATACGTTCAGAAGTTTCGTGAATAAGTTTTAAGCAGAAAGAAAAGTATTTTCGGTAGCCGAATTAATATTTAAAATGAAAGAAAAAGAAAAGGTATTCTAATTCTATCAAAATTACACGGTATATCCTTGTTTTAAAAGACAGATGAATGATATTTTAGACAATATTCATAAATATTGCCAAAGATAGACAAGCTTGCTCAAGCTTGTTTCCGAACTCAGATTTTTGAAAGATATCTTTAACATTAGAAAAATCACATTTGAGAGTAATTAGTTTCAAATTCCCCTTTTGAAATTCCTATCATTTTGTTGAATTTGAAATTTTATCTTTAATGAAACATGAGATTATAAGAACCCAGAAGTTAAAATTTCTGTTCGGATGAAGCTGTTTGTTTGACAATTTGACAATATTTTTCAGAACCAAACTTGCACATTACGGATCAGTTTCTTTTCTAAAGGATCTTCTGTAATATAAAGAACAACATAATGATTAGAGTATTTCCGCATAGAGGGATAGAATAAAAATTTAATTTCATGCATTTTTGTTAAAATATGATGTGCGATTGGAACTGTCATAGATCGCTATCTTGATTATTTTCTTCATCAGGAATTGAGTTTCGGCCTCAGGCTAATTTATCCTAAGGGACTAAATATATCCTTATTTGACTAAATATACCCTGAGTGACGCTCAGGATATATTTAGTCGCGTAATCTTTTTCAAGCACCCGACAAAAATTATAATGCTTAAACAGTCATTTTATTTGCATGCTGGCTGTTCTGAAATTCTAATCTATATGCATTTATACCCCAAAGAAGAAAAGCGTGGGAAGCAGGTAGAATGGAAATTGATAACTAAAACGTTTAAGACAAATAATCACTTGATGAGAACAAGCGTATATATTTTTATAAAACAACCACTTGTTTAGTAAATTTGTTAATGTCAAAACAAATTTACTAAACGATTGTCAATAACACAAAATACGCATTTCCGTGTTTATTTTTGCATAAAACTTTCGCAAAATTATTGGCTATCAAGAACTAAATTTTTAATGAAAATAAATGCCTTTTGTTTGTCACAGTTATTTAATTTTCTCTATAAAATCCCCAAAACTTAATTCCAAGGCAAAATTTTAGGAAAGAATGGAAGAGGGGAATTACTGTTTATTAAGTTACTAAAATATTTCAACAGATTTGCTGCATGAAATTGTTCAACATATTCATAAAACTACGTAAATGACATTCTTACTTTTTCACATAATATTTATTATTATTATGATGATTATGAACATTTTTGATTTCCATTTATAGCTACTGCTTCAGAGGAAAAATGGCGTGACAATTCGAGGCAACAGTTTCAGCTCTCCTCCAAGAACCCCCAATACATGTTGTGATTTAGATATAGCTTTGGGAATTGACAGATTTTCCAGATTTTTCTTTCCTTTCTCTTTCTTCATATTAAACTTAGTATATTGGTGCACTTACGCTTTTACCTGGTGAACTAACGAAAGATTTCTATGTTTCGTAATTACACCTCGTAGTTTCTTTACTCTCTTCAAACTTACGAGTATTGAATGTGGGTATGTCATTAAACATCCTTGAAAAATAATAACTGTGAATATTTTTACCATTAACACCTTCTATGTATTTTATGAAATTTCTGTAATTTAACAGCTATTGCATTTGCTCTTCGAGTTTTGCTGTTCCGAATTTGAGCCAAGCAAAATAAATATTTTCATTTCAAAGAATAATTGAATGGATATTTAGTATGTGTCTCACAGTTTCACTTAATTTATTATACAACATTTATTGAAGCATACCTGTTACCAGAACTTTACCAGACCCATAACTTCCAACAGCAATCAAATGAATAAGTATAAAGATTACATATTTATTTAACAATTAACATAAGAACAAAAATTATTCCATTATCTTTTAGTGTTTAAGGATATGATTAAATTACGTCCGCATGAAAAATAATGATGCTGTCATTTCTCGCTAAAGGTTACGAATAGCGGTATTTATAATGGTTTATAACAGCTTTGTTTATAACAGCTTTGTTAAAAAGAAATAGAACTCTACACCACAAAAAGAATTTGAGTAATATTTTAAACTCAAATGTTCTCATTTTCAAGAATATGCATCGGAATTTTATGATACCTCACTGCTTGACAAAGCTGTTTGATTATACTTTAGCTCTTCTTGCTCGCTTCTTCTAGCCTGACAGAAATGCTTGCGGAGTATAATTGCGAGGTAATATTGCAGATGATTTTTAAAATCTCCACTAATTAACACGCTAAACACCGTATCAGTTTCTAGGGAAATGCGTCAGAAAAGAAAAATAGCTTGGCGCTTAAGATGGTAAGTAATGGAGGAAAATTAACTACATTGTTGTCGTGATCACTTTTAACAAGGTAATTATTTCAGCGCTTACAAAAGAAGAAGTAAAATTACGAAGACGAAAACAGAAATACGCGTCTCAGTTCCGTTAAGCTGCGAGTAACGGAATGCTAGTGGTTTATTTATAAGGGTTTTGAGGAGAATTTGCAAAGAATTTTAAAAAGTTGAGCACAAATTTTAGGCATATATAAGGTTTCCGAATGCAAGTGTTATTTTCTATCAAGTAGTCAGTTATAATAATTTTTAACATCCAAATTCTCACAGATTAATATTACTACGTTTGACATTTATATTCTTCTTGTTATTTGCGACATATTATTCATATTTTAATAAAAAATACGAGACTTAAAATATAATGCTACAGTAAAGTATCCTTTTTCATATACTCAATGAAATGTTATCATTTGACTAATTACTAAAATGTACTCAAGCATTTCTTTCATCTGTATTTGTATTACCAGTTTATTATTCTTCATTTGGAAACTCAAAATAAATTTCCAGATATTTGCTTTAAACACAGCTTAGTTTCAAAAACAGAAAGTTCAGAATCAGTAAAAGAAATGAGGTTATAAAGTTAGTAATAAATAACATTTAAATTAAGTATGACATATAATAATTTTAAATTGCACTGTAAATTAAAATCCGTTAAAATGTAAAAAAGAAAACAATAAAACTTGACACGAAAACTAAGCAGCTAAGATTAGCTGCAAAATATTTATTAATTTCTTTTTTTTGATTCGTGATCCTTGATGCTAAATTTTTATGCTCTTTTAATTCATTTAAACATGCTTAATCACAATTTTGACATCGGTTCTGCAAAAATTATCTACCATGTTTCTTCATTTTGTCAAATGAATTTCCTTGAAGTTTCTCACATTCAAAAAGTTCATATTGTTTTAGTTGATAACATTAATTAAAAGTCAGCCCTTCCTAACACTTTCAGAGTTCTAATATCTTTGTCTTTCACGTTTCATTGCAATTTTCCTCGACAGATGGCGATACACTTGTGTTGGTGCTTTGGAAACCATTGAATTAGAAGTTACCATAAAACTGAATATGTAACATTAGAAATTCCTCAAAGTTAAACATAATCTAGTCTGTATAATTTTTACTCCAATTAAGACTCAATCTCGGATCCTTTTGGAATGTGGACGATGCCAAATACTTAACTAGTTAAATACTTTCTCTACCTTTAATCTTCAATTTCTTTTATTCTTCCTGGAATAAATTTTCTTGTAAACGTTATTTAATTTCCTTTTGAGGGATTAGCTTAGGCAGTGAATGAAACGCACCTCACTTATATTCTCTCATTCTTTCAAAATGTGATTTTTTATATATATATATATTACTACAATTACTTGATGTCTGTTTTTCTTTGACAATAAAGAAAATGAATTAATTAATTAACTGTATTTACCACTTAAGTTTTCAACTAAGAGCCAAATGTTCCGAGTAGCATGTTTTAATTTGAAACATACTAAAAACTCTGAAGCTACTTCTGTGCTTTTCTAAAATAATGATTTCAATTTTAAAGCTATGTTCTTATATTTATTCTAGCATAACTTTTGGCATGGTACCGTAGAAGTTTTGTTAAATACAAGTTTCATTTTGCAGCAAAATGTAAATTTTATATTACAACCGTTAGTAGTTCAATAATTTACTAAAGCTGTTTTTAAAAATATTGGTTACATTTACTAGGATGTAATCCAAAAACTATAGGTTCTACAGTTAGTTATTATTAGTTAGTAATATTTAATATTAGTTAAACGTAAACTATAGGTTATTGACAATTTTAAACATCATATGAACTGCAACAGAAAAATGACAATATAATCTACAAAATATTATTCTCGTATACAATATTATTCTAGATTTCGATCACGAATACTATCTACAATGGAGCTAAGAAAAAAGAACTATAATGAAAGGAAACATACACAAGTATTTACAGTTTTCCGCCTATAATCTGTAAACGGTGTTTAAACATATATGCCAAAATAGCATGTTTCACGAATGCCAAATAAAATACAATCATCTTAGTTCTATATTTTTAGAATTTGCTGTGAAAACAAAAACTTAAAAAGAAGAATGCAACAAATAAGATTTTGAATAATCTATATCTTTTCGAAACGTGACCAGAAAAGGCCCAATAAGGATGTTAGATTTTATATGTTCGGCTAAAATAATCAAAATAATGACATATATCATTTTGATATCGAGAGGAAAAAAAGAGTACGTCTGAAAGTAAAACCTGACAGTTAAGGAACCAGTTGGTTAATCAATTAAGGCGAAACGTGCGTCATCTCTGTGGTTAAGGGATGGGATGACGTTTTGTAAGACTTATAAGGTTCGTTATGTACACATGAGGAAAACCCTGAGAATTATATATGGCGTCTAACCACCAGAAATCAAACTCGGCACTAGTACATTTTAATATTTCATCTCCTTGTACACTTGAGTATTTGTTTAATAAATTGGTTCATTATTGCTATTCTTTTCTGAATCACATTATGGAATTAAAGCCGAATTTATCACGAAGCAGTGGTTATCAGCTTATACTCTTTAAGCACCATTTACCTCACTACGAGCTGTAGAAAGAACCTTTACTCTCTAAAATCAGAAAAGGCGACACGTTTATCCTTATTCAGAACATTTGGATATTATTTCAAAAATTTTAAACCTGTCAACTATTAAATAAAAAAAGAAACTTACCTGAAGTGGAACTGGAGAAAAACACGTTTTTGCTTTTTCTTCTGCAATGTTGTCCCTGAGAGCTGAAAACGTGAGGTTAAAAAATTGGACGTAAATGAGAAATCGCAAACATTTGTTAAAATCAAGAAAGGGAGAAAAATAAAAAGAAATGCTATTGTTGCTCGCTCCAGCTGCGCTACTCGAGTTAATAAATATGTACAATACTGTATATATTACAATGTATGTATTATATATTACAATGTATGTATTATATATTACAATGTGTGTATTATATCTATATATAATGTATTGTAATTTATGCCTCAATTTCTTACAACAGATGGTAAATGAGTTGTAATTTTGAACATAAGAAATCAATACATCATCTATTCAAGTTCAGCCAGTTGGCAAAATGTAATAGGGCTTAAGTATTAAATTATTGAATGAAAAATCCTAAAGTAGCATTTTTTAAAAAATCTTTTGTGAATGATATAAAACAACTTTATACTCTGCGTGTTAAATAGTTAAAAATTTTAAGCAAAGTTTCTTAAACTGTGGGTCGTGACCCCCAAGGGAGTCGCGGGACCTGCAGCAGGGGGTCGCCAAAACTTTTAGCAGTTTTGGTATTTCTTTAATGTATTATAATAATTTGACAATTGCCAAATATTTTTATACAATGTATCTGAAAATAGATAAAGTTAAGACAATACAGACAAAGGCAAAAACGAAAACGTTTCGACGCATTCTTTTTATAATATAAACGTTCAATTTCCTTGCTTTGCACTTAACGCTGTCATTTCGTGTGTTACTTACTAAAAATTTTCACATTGTTCTATGTCTTAAAATTAGAAATTAAAATTAATGACATAAAACTGCAATAGTATATTACAGTACAAGTGAAGAAACTGACAGTTTCACTGTGCGTGTGTCGAATTTGGGCAATATTTATGGGGTCCTACAAAATTTTTGTAAATATTATGGGGTCGTGGGGGTTGTGAAAAAATCTCGGTGATAAAAAAGGGTCGCGACTGAAAAAAGTTTAAGAAACCCTAATTTTAAGGATGGTCTGAAACAAACGTTTTCAAACAAGAGAGGGAGAATACGTTTAGGTTTTTATTTAGCTGATAAACATTTAGTTTTAATTTGTGCATATAAAAAATACTTTTATTCAACGTTTGGTATTTACCAACATTTTCTACACTTATTTGTTTTTTAATTTATGCATATAAAAATAATTTTATTCAACGTTTGGTATTTACCAACATTTTCTACACCTTTTTGTTTTTTAATTTATAAAACACGTTAGAAAATTATCTAAATAAAAATAAATGTATATATGAATTTTTCAAGTTTGAATAGGAGGGGGAAAGGACCTTCTAAACGATTGATTGGTTTAAAGTGTGATCACATGTTACTACAGACGTATAAAAAATCACAAATTTAATATCAGGATGTTCTTCCACGCATTTGAATAAAAGTACGTAATAACGTCGTAAGGTTCTTGCGACGACCCAGGCAATAGTCAACATGGAGATTATTCAATTTTGCACTTGTGACTTCTGTATGAGTATTAAAAATGTTCGAAATACGATATTTTACAAAAAATAATTACGTTATAAAATTTTTGAAGAAAATTTTAATATTTTGATTTATA